TGACCAGGAATTTGTCACTTCACAGCCACCATCTTGGATTTCCTCCCACAAAGCCAAAACGCGCCTGTGGCCATGTCTCAAGTCTTCTGTTCTCAGCCTAGAGATTAGGCAATGCAGTCCAGACTTCTGGTTTTTGCCATCGTAGGATGAAGTCTTAACTTAATGAGAGACTGATTTTACTTCTTAAAGATCTTTTTCAAAATAAAAAAACCTAATTTATACTCTTGTGACTATTGCTAGTTTTGAAAGAGCAAGTGTGAGATTTTGCAGAAGGGCCAAAGAGCTGCAGAGCTCTGTAGACCCACACACTCAAGTCAGGAGCTCCTCCAGTGCCTGGTGCGCTGTGCCTGGGACCAGACGCCCTGCGTGAAGCTGCGTTGGGGCTCACACTGAGATGCCCGTCCAGAGGCATCATCGCCCCGAAGACACCAGACTTCTTGCTGGACAAAAGTCCACGGTCTTGTCAACTGGTTTGGACCTGTCCCAGCACACACAGAATCAGTGCAGGGAGGGCTCCTCTATGCACATGTGTCTTCCAGCACTTGGGAAACCTCCCCGCTCCCTCGACCCCTGCGCACGTTTCCCACGAACCACAGCCGTCTGCAGCTTGGGCTACCAGTGGGGCCTGCTTAATCCCAGCTTTTGGGGAGCTGAAGGTTGCGAACAGTTCGTATTTCCACGTGGCTTGTTTTTGCTGGTTGCAGGGCACAGGCTCAGCAGTTTTTTTCTAAAAGCTTTTAAAGTTTCTCACTGCAAAGTGGGGATTTCCTCTTCAGAGAAGGAAACCCAAGATGGTGGCATCTTAATGTGGTAAATGGAGCAAAAGGGGGGGGGGGGGGGGGAAGTGGTTTAAAGACATGGTAGGAGGAATTTTGTCCAAATATCAGCCTCACGGTCGGTATTGTAGTAATTCTCAGATCTTGGAACCACTTCAGTCTGTGTTTTATAATGTACCTAAGGCATGCCCTTATGGCACTGTAACACCTGCCGTATTGTAAGTTATTTCTGACTTCTTATGCACTTTTTGGCAGCCATGGAGTTTACTTTAGAAGTTGCTGCATGTGCAAGTTCAGCAGCTTTTCTGCAGGATTTACTTACTGCCACGTGTTAAGGGGTTAAGAAGGCATGAACTGCAGGGCAGGCCGCGCTGCACTCCCGCAGCATCAGGGCTTGCCGGAGCAGGCAGGGCCCTCACACTCCTCACGTGGGAGTCACAGGGCTCCTTTAGTCAAAAAGGCAACTGTTCTTCACCACCAAGACACTAGTGAAATCAAAAACACATGGGGTGCTGTTTTTTTCGTATTGATCTGGTCCAGCACACACACGAGTGAATGGGAATGTTTCTGTTGTCCTTGCGAGGAGCTGGGTCTAGCTGTAAGAGAGCAAAGGATTTTGTTCTCCGTAATATTATATTAAATTTTAATTTGTGCAAGTATATTCCCAAGGTGTCACTTGTGAACGTAAGTTTTTCTCACACAGTCCTTATCACCACTAGATTTATATCTGATTCCACACTGATTCCTTAGGCTAGCTTTAAATTAAAAGAAAGATGGATGGGGTTTTCCTAACAGATAGTCTTTGTCTTTTTGCCATGCAGTATATGCTTACCAGATTTTTAAAAAAGTTTCTCATGCATGTGGATATTAATTTTCAGATCATTTTCCATTTTTAGGGGAAAAAAATTGCACCTTTTACTAATCGTACATGAGTATTGAGTCATATATTTTATATTTTAGATGGAGTATTTATGTCCGACCTGTATTTCCTCCATATGAGTCTTTGTTGTTCAAGCATATTGATGACTCTGATCTTGTACCACTTAATCTGCACCTTGAGGTAGACTTCATATAGCCTCTTTCATGTTTCAGCATTATGTCTGGCATTTAAATGTACAAGAACATCAAACCAAAGAGCATTCATATAGGGTCAGATTAAAATACTGTGTAGTCAGTGCTCAGTCTTTGAACATGGTCAAAAGCAGTCACCTAGATTGCAGCATGTCAGGTGAAGCCTATATGATACCTCACAATAATAAATCCCAACTTAATGGCTTCCTAAGCCTGAGATGGCTTCTATGTACTTAACAAATACACACTATTTACAACAAACAGAGTCTCCGCAGCTTTAGTAACCTGCTGAGTCCATTTATTGATTAGATAACATCTAATCTTATTATTGCCTTTACAGAAAACTTTCTTCATTAATGCCGTTTGGAAAGAGAGAAAAATGTTCATTTTTTGGTGAGTTTTTCTTTACTGAACTCATGGGAAATCAGCAGTATCAAACTGTAATTCTTAATGGACTGAACTTAGAATGAACTCACTTTTTTGTCTATTTTTGGTTGTTTGTTTTATATTGCTTTACTGCCCTCAATATAAGAAAGTGATACTGTCGTCTGGAACCAGTTGCAATGGGCAATTTTTCTCCCCCAAAACTCTCAATATAGGCCTAACATTGTCCTTCCTCAAGTCAATGAAAAACTACCTTTCATGGAAATGAGAACAGAATGATGGCCGATAAACAGTCTTGAAATCCCACTGAAAATGGGTGGAGACCATACCATATCCTAATTCACTTTAATGCAAACATATGGTGGATGTTCAATTAATAATGATCACCGGAGACCAAGAGAAGGGTGGATAATTACAAAAAAAATA